CTTCAACACCAAATTATCTCCACATTGACCCGACTTCCTTAACGATAAGGAACAACGTCATCTTCAGCAAACAAGTTACCTAAAATCGACTATATCTCTTTAACATGAGTATCAATTTTGTCACTAATATCAAGTTACCTCTAGATATCCAGATATCCTCAACTTGAAGGAGCCATGTCTTTACTAGATTTCAGCAAGCAACAGCTAGATCTCTTCAACGTGGATGAGCAATGTCATTTTCAACATCAAATTATCTCCAATTAATCAAATTTTCTCAACAAGAAGGAATAATATTATCTTTAGATGTAGTCATCCAATTACGAGTTAGCATCCTTCAGAAGAAGAAGTAAGATCGTCCTACGACTCAGCGTCTTTCAGACGAAAGAGTGAGATCGTCACCAGATTTAGCATCTTTCAGCAAAAGAAGTGGATTATCTACCAAATACAACTTAGCATTCTTTAAAAGAATGAGTAAGATCTTCCTCGACTCAATGTCTTCCAGAGGAAAGAGTGAGATCATCACCAGATTCAATATCCTTCAGTAAAAGGAGTGGATCACCTACAAATTATGAATTAGCGTACTTCAGATTAAGGAGTAAGATCATTTCACGACTCAACGTCTTTTAGAGGATAGAGTGTGATCGTCACTAGATTCAACTTCCTTTAGCAAAAGGAGTGGGTCGCCTACCAATTACGACTCAGCGTCCTTCAGAGGAATGAGTAAGATCGTCCCACGACTCAACGTCTTTCAGAGGAAAGAGTGAGATTGACACCAGATTCAGTGTTCTTCATAAGAATGAGAGCAATATGGTCTTCAAGTCTAACTTCTACAAGCGAAGAAGCAATCATTCAAATGGGCTAGTCATCCTCATCATGAAGGAACAACGCCATCAACAAATGAAGATTGTATCATTTGAGAATGTTTCTTTATAGAATTTTGAAAACATTTCCCTCTAAATAAGAAGTTTTTTTTCAGTCTCTCATGAGACAACCCTAATTTTGAAATAAAAGATAACACCCAACGAAAACTTGTTATCCTTTCATCTTTTCCCTATTCTTGTTGACATAAGAATGGGCAAAGAGGGGCAACTGTTGACACTTGTTTTCATCCAATTTTTATTTTTTAATATTACATATGAATATTATTTATTTTATTATTATTAATTAATTTTAATCATTTTATTTTATTTGCAGGCTAAAACCATATTACAAATCGGGTTCACACAATAATTCCAAAGCCCAAAATACACCAGGCCCCAACCGACCCAATTTACAACAAATCCCAACAACCCAATCAAACCTAACCCTAGCCCCCATCAAACCCTTACCATCGTCGCTGTCTAGCTTGCTGCTACCATCACTGCCAGTCGATCACCTCACTGAACCATATTTGTCCCAAAACAGTAAAAATCAAATCAAATCTACACAAAACCCAACAAATATCCATCACCATAAATCAAAGGTATTTTCAACAAATAAAAAGGAAAAGAAGAGAATTCAAGGAGAAAAAACGGATGGGGAGAGAACTGAATATGAGCAAATTAAAGAAGAGCAAAAAAATAGATCAAGAGGAAGAGAGAGATTAAATAATAATAATAATAAAAATAAAAAGAGGAGAAACTAGATTCGAATAAAAAAAGAAAGAGAATATAAATATATTCTAAAAAAGGAAAGGAAAAATGACGGAATACCATACCTTGTTCAACGCTCGTTGAAAGCCAAAGGGTCGTCGGAGTTCAAAACTTCCAAAAGGTATAATCCTAGATCTAAGTGTTTGGGTAAAGATTTGGGCAAGGGTGGTCTCGGATGAGAACGTAAAAAGGAATATTTTCGGGGGGTGTTGGTTTTCTCCAACCATTGTGAGTGGCCGTTGAACACCATCGGTGACACGTGGTCATATCATTCGGTGAGTAGAAGTTGAGAGCGATTATGATCTCTCTCTCTCATTTCTTTAGGAGCAAAAAGAAAAATGGCAGGTTTTAGGAATTTTAGCCTTGGTTTTGGGCTTATGTACCCCGTGCAAAATGCTGTCGTTTAGGGAGAGGGAGTATGACCTGCTTCTTTGTGGGTAATTTGTGCAAGAGGTCCTTGTTCTTCTGTAATGTTTAAATACAATTTTTCGTTTGTTATGCTTTGAGCTTTAAATAAATTTTTGTTTATGATTTAGTCACTGCCTGTCTATTTGTAGATTTCAGTTAAATGTTTTATCATGGCTAGTATTTCATATTTATTTCGTTTTAGTCACTAATGTGTTTTGTTTGTATGGTGGGTCAAATATCTAATTCAGTTTGCAAAGTTTTGATTTATTACATTGTCTTCCTTTGAGTATTATATATAAGAAAATGTTTATTTATGCTTTAAATCCTCTAAATAATGTATATTAGCTTGGTCAATGACTTTTTTCTCTCTTTTTTTATTTCAGTTTAGTCCTTGTATTATTATATATGTAAGTATTTTACATTTTAATATATAAAAATATATGATATTATATGTAGACTATATGTTTTAATATTATACATGTATAATAATTTATAAATATTTTTTTATATTTTGGATAGCTATAAAATATTAGATTGTTTGACTAATCAATGGAAGGCCTCCAAAAATATGGAGTGCTCTTTTCGAGGGTTATTCGAATAAAGTTGATATTATATTATTTTTCAAATTTTATTTATATCTTATTTTTTTTAAATATGAGATATGTTTCATTTTTAAATAAAGATATTTTTATTTTTTTATAGTGAATTTACTTTAATAAAGATAAATATTTATGGTGTTTCTTTATTTATTTATTTTTCATATTATGTGAATATTTCATTCATTCTTTATATGCCATTTATTATTGTTGCATTTACAAATCATGTACTTGTTTTCTCATTTTCTAAAACAATTGAAGTCAATGTTGTATCGCATCGTCTGTTAACGGAATTGCGTCCAATATGACTATATTTCAATTTTCGTTAATCCACGTAGTAGGAGGACACATTTTTAAAATAAAATCGAGTGAATTAAAGTTTAACATTTTAAAAATATATTCACTCATTCTTTAAAAATCATAGAAATAAGAGGATTGTAATTTAAATTTTGAATTCAAGTTTATAAAATTCAATAATCTTAGACAACATAATTATTTTTTAAATTAATTTTCGTTGAAAAATAGCTATGACAATGTGATTTATGAAACTAATTGTTGGTCTGTTATGTGATGTGCAAATTGAGGGAAATTCGTACACTTTTTACAATTATATTTTAATATTAATGATACTCTTTAATGTATTTAATTTAATTTATAAAAATAAATAAATTATAAATAAAAAATTATTAAAATCAAATATGAATCATACAAATATTATCATACTAAAATTATGGATGACAACAAACCATAATTTCAATAATAGCATATAAATAATTTTGCGTTAAAAGACATAAATTCTCAAATTTTAATATATAAATTAATTTTATCCAATGAATCTATCAAGTGATTTTAGTGATTAAAGAGAGTGTTATTCTTATTAAAAATTATGTGATCAAACAACTACGTTTATTGATGTGTTGCGTTATTTTTTTTTCCAGATGATATGCACTTTATATTCCCAAACCAAAGCAAAAAACTATACAGCCAGGTCATCCTGGTAAACCAAAGAAACATCATATACAATCCAACAAAACCACGAGAGGAGTAACCTCTCTCTCTCTCTCTCTCTCCCTTGTGGTATCAAAGATCCTGTTTTTTTATTGTTGTTTTTCTAAGACGGTCTGGAGCAGCATTTTGAGGCTCTGTCGCCTGCAGCGTGGAGTGTTGGGTTGGGATCGTGAGCTAAGTTGGGCTTATCAATCCTTGAAGGGTAAATTTTTGCTTTTTGTTCCGTTGAAATTGTCTTGGAACTGTTGCATTGCTTGTATTCGGAAGGAGCGTAACCAGAGGCATTTTCGAGGGGTTGCAATTTCTGTGACTGATCTCGTGGAGCTGCTTAAACAGCTTGTTACCCTAAAGTTGTGTGGGATGAAGTTTAAGTCGGGAGGGCTTGTTAATGGTGTTATACTATCTAAAAAGATTAATTTTGTCAAATTTTAATAAATTTTGAATATTCGTCTTTTCTCTTACAGCTCAGTTCAGTGATCATAAAAATCATCCATTGCGATCAATTTATTATTATGATGAAAATATCCGTTCTTTTTTGTAGAAAGAATAGACTTAATATAAAAATATTTAAATTATAAAATTTTAATTAGGTGTTTAATTTTTTTCGTTCAATATAAGTGTCTAATGTCACGAACGTTATCATTTTAAATACTTTGGACGCAACGATCGTTAAATGACATGTATCGCATTTAGAAAATTTTGTTTAAAGTAAAAATATTAAATTTAATAAAATCCTCAAAAAATTTAAAATCTTTAAAAAATCCAAAAGTTTGAAAATTTTAATTTCAATCCTTATACCCATGTCAATCGTCGAGGTTTGATGTTGTTGCCGTCAAACCTTCACCCTACGATGAACTTGACGACCCATAATCCAGAACTCGACGTTAAAAAAACTTTGAAAAACCGTGACCCGACAAACCCGATGACAAGAGCGACGATGATCGACGAGGAAAATGATAAGGAAGACGACAAGTAAGTGGCCGACAAAGGAGATGATTAGAGTTGGGGGTTTTAGGAATGATTTTAATTTTTTTAGAGATTAGATTTTTTTTAATTTTAAAGAAAATAATTTTTTAAAGATAATAAAATTTTAAAATAAAATTTTTAAAATTTATAAACGTGATGCGTGTTATTTAATAATTTTTTTAACGTTGATTACTGCTTATATACTTTAAAATGACAAGTTTGTAAAGTTACCCATCTAAATTGATTGAAAACGGTTTAAACATCTAAATGATAAATGATAAATGATAAAAAAATATAATTTGAGTAACTTTTTTATATTAAGCCAAAAGAACAATACAGTTTAGACTTTACCTTCACTCGATGATTAAACAGACAAAATTTTGACTAAAATCTCTGAAAACCTAAAGTCCAACCGAAAGAGACCAAAAGGCACAGAAAAAGTGAAAGACCGACGATTCTAATTTCAAAATTGTTTTTACAATTTATACCAACAAATTGATCTTCAACTTCACTTAATCTGTGCATTCAATTTCAAGACAAACAAGAGAGTTGCTAGACTTGAGTTGCCCCCCCCCCCCCCCGGGAGGGCCCCTCCAAAAGTTGTTACCATTAAGCTATCTGGCCTCGTCTTCTTCTAAGGTAAATTCAATAGCTTCAACCTCCTTTTAATTTCTTAAGATTTCTTTTATGCTTAGTTTTATTTTTTGGCTATTTGATTTACTTTCGTGTGTTGCTGTCTTTCAATGTTTATTTGGAAAGATCCCAGCACTCAAAAGCCGTTATTATTGGTTTGTCTTGCTTTGTAACCTAATTTGGGTATTGGGAATTTCTTCTTTCTGGATTTATCTGCTTCATTCAAGTTTTTTTATGCTGAATAGTGGAGACTTAATTGTGTACTAAACGATCTTTGATTCCTTATGGGTACAATCCATCGTATACTAGTTTTTTTTTGTTTAATGCAGAGAATGAGGAGCTTGTGAAATAGATTGAAGAATCAAAGTTAGATTTTTAAGGGCATAATGTGGTTGTTTCCATTGAATTCGAGTTTGAGAAAGGGGCGGAGTAGCCGGGGAAGCAATGGCGTTTTGGTGTATCTCAATGTATATGATCTCACACCTATAAATAACTATCTTTACTGGTTCGGGCTTGGGGTTTTCCACTCGGGTATTGAAGGTAGAATTTATCCTTCATGTTTATTTGTTCATTCTTTGCGAGCATTTGGTCATTCTTTGTGAGCATTTAGTCAATTGGCATTTCTTGTTTCCGACACGAGTTTTAGTTGTTTGATACATGAATATTCACCTACAAGCATTGTAGGATATGATGGGGTTCCCTGAAAAATGATAATGTAGTAAAATAGGATCTAATGGTTCTTTAATGTCTTTAAACAAATCATGCAAGTTATTCGACTATATAGTAACTTAGCATTATATAGTCACCGGTTGCTGTTATCTACGATTAAATAACGTTCATACATGGTTAGTCTTTGTTTTCTTTTCCCTGCTGTTTTTTTTTTGGTGCCATTAATGTTTCATGTCTTATTTGCTAATCAGTATATGGTTTGGAGTATGGCTTTGGAGCACATGAGTACCCTACAAGTGGAGTGTTTGAAGTGGAACCAAGAAGTTGTCCTGGTTTCATATTCAGACGATCAGTACTATTGGGCAGTACTAACATGTCTTGTTCAGAATTTCAGTTATTTATGGAACAGCTTTCGCAAAAATACCATGGGGACACGTATCATTTGATTGCTAAGAATTGCAACCATTTCACTGATGATGTGTGCCTGCAACTCACTGGAAAGCGTATTCCTGGGTGGGTAAACAGGTTGGCTCGACTAGGTGAGAAAACTGCCTGTTTTCTTGTTCTTGTCATCCGAGAAGATGCGATTATTTTACAAGATGGCTTCCGGTTGTGGTAGATTGCATATTCATACAGCATAGTTATAAAGCATCCGTTGTTAGATAATTGCCTTAACTATAACTCCTAATTGTCCAGCTTGGAAGTTGGATCATTCGCATCATTATTTGAAGCTCTAAGACTTCTAGGATATGTAAACATTGAGTGTGTGGTCCACCACACCATGTTAATTGATCTGATCAATGAGATTTTTGAAGTTTCAGGTTCATTTTGTAACTGTCTGCTTCCGGAAAACATTCAGGTTACTGCAGTTCGACATCTTCCTGATCATCCTGCATATTCTGGTAAACTTCTTCTGGCCACCATGTCTCCAAGTTTATTGTTTTCTTTTAGAACTTTTACCAAATTTATGCTTATTAATCCTTACTGTTGTAATAAATGAACTTATTTCTGGCATCCAAATGGTTCATAAACTTGTTCTGACAATGCATTAGCAAATAGTTTCTGATCCTGAAAACAATGGAGATGTTCTGCTAACTTGAGCTGTAACAATTATGTGCAATATTGTTATATTTGGAATGGGATAAGTCATCTGTCGGTATATGCATGCTTATGTTTGAATTTTTGTTTTTGGTCGGGATTTCCTTTTTAGTATATAACTTTTTAACAAGATAATTTTTCTGATGCAGATGAAGAGATATTAGATTCTGCTGCAACATCTATAACATCAGAGAGCGAGGAAGACAATTCAAATCATCATCTGCTGACTATACCAGATACCGATGTTGCATTTATCAGAGAAAAGACAGTGAGGCTTACCAGAGAACTATGATTTCCTCCGGACTATTTGTTTCTTTCGTGTGGGTCATTATCTGTTCTATCATATGTTCCCAAATGCAAGAAAGACTGTCAGATTCAGATATCTTCAAGGTACAGTGATGAAGCTATGCACTTCATTTTTATTCTAAAAATGTCAGCCAGGCACAAATATCTCCTTTGCTGTCTAGATTTGTTACCATATAACCCTTAAAACATGGGTGATCAAATTATGTGCCATTAGATTAGATGTCTTTCCTTCGTCTTTTTTTCAGAAAAATATTGTGTTCTGGCTTTTTTCCCATCCAATATATGATTTCTATATGCTTCGAGGTTAATCGAAGATGAAAGTTAGAGTTTCTTTGTTGTTGTCGTGAATGCATGAACCTGCATTGCTTTGCATTGCAGAAATCTTCATACTGTAACGGTTGTTTCAACCCGGGCAATGGCCTCCGCTACATTTGTAAATACAAATGTAATTTCCAAATGCATGTGGATTATGCCCTCAAGCCTCCCATAGTCTGAAGATGCTGAGGATGACCTAGCCGTTCTACATATCACTCATCAGCATCCGTTGAAACCTGTCTATATAAACTTGGTAGATAGAGTTTACTGTTACCATATGTGAAAACCTCTGCTTTGGTTCAGTTTATGGTCGCCGATTCTGCAACTTTTTTCCTTCATAACAGCACGGCGACCATTCCACGAAAGGTCAATCGTTTCTTCCACCCATTCCCACTTATATCGTTCACATGCATGCATGCGTCACCGGTTGCAATCATATCATTTCAGAATAGATGCAAAATGCGCGTTGCTTCCAACCGTGACATCTCCAGGTGCCTATCTGATTCAACATTTCACCCATAAGCATCCGTTGAAGCTTGTTGATAGTCACAATGAAGATGTTACAAGTAGTGCTGTGACATGTGTAGGGAACTTCGATCTGATTCTGTTTATATCTGTGCAACTTTTACTGCCATAAATAATGCATAATTGAAGATCCACGGCAGATCAACCACTCATTTTATCAATGGCAACAACCGCTCACCATCGTTGTCGTATCTGCGACGAAGAATGCCTAGGCTTCTCTTTCTATTGAGAAAAGTGTAAAATCTACTTGGATGGAAAATGTGCCTTCCTACAGCAAACTCCAAAAATGCCAAGGAAATGCAGCATTTCACCCATCAACATCCGTTAAAGTTACTTCAAGAAGTGGCCAAGGATTCCATTCTTAGTCAGGTTCGATGCAAAGCACCTGAGGAAAACTGGCTCACCACAACTCCGGAACCCATTGAGTTAGCCCTCAGGCACGGGAGATTTGACATTTCTTGCACACCAAACACCCTCTCAAGCTCTCATTACCTGCTGTGCATGGTCCAAGAAGTACTCCCACGCACTTCGTCTAGTCTACTGATGTTCGAACTGCAACTTTAACCTCCATACCAAGTGCGTTAGCCGCATACCCTTCATCAAATATCACGCTCACCGTCACCTTTTCACTCTCTTCAACAACGCCAGCAACATTGTCTGTCACATTTGTTACAAAAAATCGGCTCTCTTGTGCAACTTCAACATGCATCTTCAATGCCATCCTTCTACACCCAAATCTGCGGATCATGAAAACCATATCCAGCATCCTTTGACTCTTACCAAACTGCCTTTCTATTCGAATTGAGCTCATCTGAAGATTCTCACAATTTGAATGATGAATTTTACTAAGACGTTTTCGAAGTAAAAAGATATAAACGAGTTTGGGTTTATTACTTTGACGAATGCAAGTTCATTGCCGAGGTTCCATGGGTTATGGATAATGTTCAACTCTGCAAAGTTATCGGCTAATCCAGCTCATCTTCGACTCAAACATTTTGAGCATGATACAGTTTTGATACCAAAGGAAACCTAGTGGTGCATTCAAGCCGGTCATTCGGCCTCCAGATGTACGGCATTTTTCCATGCAAAAGTTCATTTTTCTAGTTAGGATTGAAACTGAATTATATGTTGTGGATGTATGAATTTGAATTACGACCTGATACTTATTTAGCCTACCAACAAATTATGGCAAGCATGGACTGAGGAGGCCAGGAGGGGCTCCATAAAATTTAAAATTATTATATATTTTAATTTTTTTCTATGTATTTTCTATTGAAAATCTATTTTCGGTCCTGGAATTTTACAAGTTCAAGTTTGCCCCTCCTAGAATTTTAAAAAGTTACAGTTCATCTATTTACATAAAATTCTGCGTCCATCCCTGATGACACAGGAATAATGTTTTACAATCTGTTCACCCAATTTCTAGTTTAACCGGGAGCGTATCATGCTTCACATAATTACACGTCGATATCTATGCAAACAAAGCTTTACAAGGAGGACCGGATTGGTTTAAAAACCTTGGCTGATGCAGGAAAGGTTCACTACATTTACGTCTCAGGAGGTCACCTCGGAATCTCTGACGACGAGCATTCGGAGTAGTTATGTCAAAGTTCACGGATCTCATCGCAAGGTCATGGTAAGCCGTGATAGACAGCAAGCGGTGGTTTTGTTGCAGGAAAAAACGTCATCCAAACTCTTACTTGCAGAAGATTAAGCCATATCCTTATTTTTTTTATTCACATAGTATTGTTTGAATTGAATTATGAATTCATTAAAGATCAGGTACACGAACATTGAAACTAAAACTGAATAGCATTACTGGGGTACCTTATGTCATTTGATGAAAATTATGTTATATATTGGTGCCTTCAACAGCGTTTATTTCGTCATGCTTGGGTTAATTTAACGAAAAGTAAAAATTCTAAGATTAAAAAAGAAAGAATAAAATTTTAAGGATTATAATAATTAAAGTGATAAACTTGGAAGGCCAAAATGGTTGTTTCAAGCTTTGATCGGTAGTGAGTTTGAATGTATTGGTTGTGAAGGAATCAGATTCATTGTCCAAAGTGTTTAACTTTCCGACACAAATTCGAGAAAAGCAGGATACCTTATCAAGCTTGTTCAGTTAATCAGGATTTATCATTATCTTCTATCTTTAATTAAACCTTGCATGGGATTGGGCACCACTTTCACACTCTCTTCACATGGGCTGCTCCTGCTCCTAGGAAACGTATTTCCAAGTATGCTGATGAAGAAATGACTAGATTCGGACTTTTCTTTTAATTTAAAATATATTCAGACGAATTCCTTATGTGAACTTAGTGATAAAAAGGGATTGTTGTTTTATACAAAAGTCTCAAGTTCGAGAAAGTATGTTTGTAGAGTGTGTGTGCTCTCAATGATCAAGAAAGATTTCAAACATATACCGTGAACTAAATTCATATATATATATATCTACTGAATTCTGTCAAAAAACAGTTTTTTCAATTTAGTAGTATAGGAAGTAATTTGAGTAGGTCCTCGTAATAATAGTGAGATCTGATAGGTAATTTCACCAAAGAGGAAGTTAGCGTACGCAGTCCAGAGAAGAATCCTGGCTAACTAGACGCAACCTATTTGCCCCTAATCCCCCACTCAGATTCTCTCTTCTTTTCTCCGGTACGAGCAATTTCCACCACAGATATATATATATCAAAGCCAAGCTGAAGAAGTTATTTTCATTTTATGGATCAGCTTTTTTGCCTTAATGCTGATATAATAAAGTAAAAAAGAAAAGGAATGGATATGTTTATCAAATATTGCATATTGCATTTCCACCTAGATGACTCAACATGCATACTTCTTTTAGCTTCTTGCATCCAAAATGTTAGAAACAAAAGCATATATCATGTAGTGAAGATCTTGGATTGTTTTTTCTAATACCGGTAGACCAGTAAACAGGATAGAAACATAATTTTATATTAAAAGATGAATTTATAGTATTTGAGGAGAAGAAAAATTTATAAAATTTTAAAAGATGAAATTCAATTAACAATGAGATAAATAAAAAAATATCTAAAATATATTAAAATTTAAAAAATTTAGGTCAGGAGAGTACGGCCCTCTCACCATTGCAAGGGATGACATGTGAGTCAACTTGATTTCCCCTACCTAAAAAGCAAGGACCCCAAGAATATCTGAGTCATCAAAAAGGCTAAAAGTAAGCACCAACGTTGGCCAAAGCTTACCTTCAAATATGCTCTCACTTCTCCCACAAACAAACCAAAACAACCTTGCTTTCGCTTTGTCTCTGTTTTTTTTCCTCTTCTTCAATGGCAGATGTAAACTCCAACACAAAACACCAGCTACCAGTAAAAGAACAAAACCAAGCAAACCCATGTAAGTATTATACACCTTTCCTTTACAAAGCTCTCCTAGTCTTAATTTTCTCGGTTGTAATCCAAGTTTTTCCCTCACAAGCACCTGAGTTCATCAACCAAACCCTCCTCAATAGAAACTGGGAGCTTCTTCACCTTCTATTCGTTGGCATAGCAGTCTCTTACGTCCTGTTTAGCCGACGAACGGATGAAACAGAGAAGGAAAATTATAACAATCAATCCAAGTTTGAAAACGTACAGTCTTTGATATCTAGAACCCTTCAGGTTTCATCTGTTTTCGATGAAGAAGCTGAAAACTTATCTGGGTCTGATGATATCAAGGTCCAGACCTGGGGTAGCCTTTACAAAAGGAACGAACCTCATGTTATTGTAGCTAAAGAACACTGTGTTGTTGATGAAAATACAAGTTCTAGTCCTGGAAACCCTGAAAAACCTTTTCTTTTGCCTGTTAGGAGCTTGAAATCGCGTGCTTTGAACGAGACCAGTAGGGAAAATCGTCCAAATTCTTGCCCTCTTAGTAGGTCTAATTCTAAGTTGAGTTCCAAAAGGTACGAATGGAGTGAGAATAATAATGTTGTTCTTCCTTCTCCAATTCCATGGCGTTCAAGATCCGGAAGAATGGAAATGAAAGAAGATGGTTCATTTAGGTCCCAAAGTATGCGTTTGTCTCGGTCCAATTCCATGTCTGCTTCACCAAAGTTGCCCCATTCGCCGCCTCTATTTTCGCCGAAGTCGTCCCTATCTCCTCCGCCACCACTGATGACTCAAAAACCAACATCACTGAAACCAGTTTCTTCCTCGACTCGTAATGAGGTTTCCTTTGAAAAGGTGATGGTCGAAACTACTACTGATGATGATTCAGAGAGTGAGGACGATGGAGCTGGCATCGTTTCAAGCATCGACAGGAGCCCAAACAAGGAGGAAGCAAATCCAAGCAGTGGGAATGATGGGGGTTCCGATGTGGACAAGAAGGCAGAGGAGTTCATAGCCAAAGTAAGAGAGCAAATCAGGCTGCAGAGGATCGATTCTATTAAGCGATCCAGTGGCCAGTTTAACAGAAACTCTACTTGAACAAAAATCCAGCT